AAGGGACCCCCCGGGGGGCCCCACGAGCCTCGAGGCGTCTCTGGGCAGGCAGGTGGCCTTTGGCTCTGGGAGCCGCCAGCGATTTTCAAGTCTTGGTGTCTTCTTCCCTCCAGGACACTCCACCTCCACCATCCAGCAACGCCGCCGAGCCCTCTGCCTCGCCCCGCAGCCACCCGCTCGCTGCCCGCTCTGCGCAGCCCCGGGAAAATGTCCGCGGCATCAGCTTCAAGCCCAACGTGCTGGAGGCCAGGCCGGCTCCCCCGGCCCCCGTGGCTCGGGAGAACACCAGTAAGACGGGTGCTGCGCCCACAACCTCCGGCTCCCGCAACGCCCTCCTGGTCCCGGCTGGAAGCATGAGCCTGGGTCGTGCCAGCAATACCCCCTCCCTCCCCACCCTGCCTGGGAGCCTCCTCCTGGTTCGGGAGCTCGGGGGGTGAGAGCAGCCAGTGCCTGACCCCAGAGGCTGCAGCGGGCTGGTGACGCTGTGCCTGGCTTTCTCTGCGGGGCAGGTGGGATGCTGAGAGCAGGCCCCTGGGGCAGAGCAGTGCCAGGCTGCACCTCCCTGCGTGCCCTGGGACTGCCCTGATGGCATCCGGCTGCGCTGGGAGGAGTCTGTCAGCAGCCAAGAGCCTGGTGCTTGGGGGCGAGCGGGGGAACCAGCGCCTGGACATCCTGCCTGCGACTGGCACGGCTTAAAATAGAATTGCGCCTGATGGGCTGAGCCCGCTGCCCACCCCGGCCTGCTGGCATGGCCCAGCCCAGCCCACGCCCCAGCCCCATGCGGTGTTGCAGGGCAGCCTGCATGACCTGCCGGGCTGGTCCTGAGCGCAGCAAGGGGGTGCCAGGAGCAGGCCAGGCTGCAGCACTCGGGGCAGTGCTGGTGGGGACGTGTCCGGCTGCACAATGCACCCACGGGGCAGGTGCTTGGCCTGGGCAGAAGGGTGGAGGATTTGGAGCTGGGCGCCTCTGGCCAGGGAGCATGGGGAAGCACGTGCAGCCTCTGCCCAGGCTGGTCCCGACAGATCTACCACCTGGAGTTGGCAGCGGGAGCTGGAGCACGGCAGGTCAAGCTTGTGCCCCGTGCCCCTCTCGGGAAGGTGCCGCAGCCAGGCGAGATGTTCCCACACCTGGATGGGGAGCAGGGCCAGGGGAGCATCTGCCCAGTCCTAGGCAGAGGGGCATCTCCGCTAGTGTTGCTCCGTGCATTTTTGCCCCTCGATGCCCCAGGTGCGACTGACCCTCTGCTTGTCCCCGTTCCAGCTGCAGGGCCCCCGGCACTGCTGTTCAAGGCCCCGCGGTGCATGAGCCAGAAGAGGCTGGCCCTGATCTTCTGCATCTGTGTCCTCATCCTCCTCCTCATCGCCCTCATCCTGCTCTGTGAGTCCCTCCCCTGTTTGCTGGGCAGGGGAAGGGGCTTGGACTGGGGCAGGGGGGTGGTCGCCCATCTCGCTGGTCCGGGCAGCCAGCATCCTTGCCCAGCTGCTGCCTGGGGTCAGGGCTCCAGCCTGGCTCCACCTGCATGGAGCCACAGGTGAGCCTGGGTGCGCAGGGGCTGTGGCAGGAGCACGTGGCCCCGTCTGAGCTGTGGGGAGGGCGATGGCTGCTGTAGGTGCCGGCTACAGCCTGGCGGTTGGCGAGGACAAGGTTGCAGCCCTGCAGACACCTTCCTCCTTCCATTTCTGGGCCTTTCCTGACACCTCGTGGACGAGCAAAGCCTTGCGGTGGGAGACCAGGGCCGTAGGGAGGGTTGCGCTGACTGGAGAGCGAGGGA